ACTATTAAATTCCGTAGATGGAGAGAATAAATAAATTTGGTTGGAAGCAAGTTTTGTGACCCTGTCTCTGCTAACCTGAGTGGCAATGAGCATTACATATGACGTCATGGGGTGATGATGCTCCCCTGAAATGTCATTTTCCAGGAATGAGATAAACTCACCCCAGGGGATACACTAGGAAGCCCACAGGTCCCTGTTTTTGGATTCCATTCAACTTGGAGTTCTTAGTGTAAGAAGGGACAGGGCCCATCTTGGGCGTGCCACTAACACGCACAGAAGGGTGATCTGGTTAGTGCATCGCTGTGACTTCCTGGGAAGTGAGAGCAAGTCGATCCACCCATCAGACAGATGAATTGTATTTATTTCAACTCGAGTCAATAGCATTTATAGATCCCGAGGTACAGAAATGAGCCCACACAATTTGCTTTTGAGTTTGCCCTCCACTTGTGAATGCAAAAAAGAGCTGCCTTTTCTTTGCACAGATTTTTAATTTTTTTTTTTAAAGCATCAGAAATAATGAAGCTCAAAGTAATTTGGTAGGATGTGCCGCTGAAGTTTTATATTGCTGTAAAGATATCTGGCTGCATCTGAGAGGCGGGATCCTTTTTTTTTTTAAAAAAAAAAAAAGCCACAAATGAAAAGTGGATTTTATTTCTGCAGAAATACTGGAAGTTCCCATTTGCATGGACACGACTTATCTTGACTCTTTCCAAATTTTTGTAAAGGGTAATAGAAAATTTAACAGCTCCGAAGGCAAAGATAACATTGTAGAATCTCCAAGAGAGTCCAAGCGCGCAGAGGCGAGTATGGCGAATTGTTCAAAGAATTTTAATCAGAGAGTCTGCCTCTAGGTCACATGTCTGCTAAAACTCCCCGCACTGCTTGGCGTGTCCCAGGCAGCGCATAGGGAATTAGCGTTGGCCACCAGGTTCTTGAAAATGAGCTGGGGTTTGGGGAACTGATTTCTGATCTCTGAGCTCCTCCTTGATACACGTCAAGTGGCGGAGGAGGTGAGGGATTATCTTGTGGAATGCGCTGCGAAGCTAGAAAAAGGAAAATAGGGAAATATTTGTAGTTAAAAAACTTTCTGACATCTGCCTACCCCCTTACCCCTGAAGATACTACAGAAAATGTGGCATTTCTTTGGCTCTGAGCTCCCGCGGGCTCACAGAGGCCTGCACGCAGAGGGACTCGTGAAAGGCCTGCGTACAAATGCACATTTTCCTGTTATATTTTCATATGTAAGATAAGCATCCCCACCCCCCAACGTGAGTACCCCTTTTTGGGTGGAGGTGACTTTCAAACAAAGGCTGGGGCCACACAGCGTGGGCTGGGCGTCGGGCCTGGGGCGGGTACTGAGGTCCTGGGAAGCGCTGATCCGGCTGCAGACCCCGCTGGCCGCCCCCTCGCCCCCGCCCGCCTGCTGTCTGGGCACCAGGAGAGGGGAAGCGGTGCGGCCCAGCTGCCAAAGCCCGGCGGGGTCGAGGGAGAGGTCAAGGTCGGCCGGGAGGCGGCTATTGATCCGGCTTGGAACGCGAGACAGGGAGCGCAGCAAGACTAAAGGGGGAGCTGTGAGACCAGACATTAACAGCTTTCGGCGCTAATGAAGCCCGTGCCAGACGGGCCGAGGGAAAAGGAGGAGACTGGAGCGGCAGCTGGGATCGCTCGCTCCGGCACCCGGCCGCCTCGGGGAAGCAGGCGAGGAGGAGGAGGCGGCGCGGGCGGAGGACGACGAGCAGGAGGAGGATGAGGAGGAGGGCGCCGAGGCCAACACGGGCCCGGAGCCGGGCTGCGTCTCTCCGCGACCGCGAGGTGGAGCGCGCAGGCGGCTCCGGCCCTGCGCCCTGCGCCACCCGCGCGCCTTCTTCCCGCCGTCGGGGCAGCGCGGGGCCAATGAGGAAGTGCCCCCGGCCACCCGCCCCGCGCGCCCCCTGCCCGCCACTTCCTGCCGGCCACGGGCGGGGTGCCCCCCGTTCCAGACCCCATTACCCAGTCACCTACCCCGGGGCACCTAGGCGTGCGCACAGAGGGGGCTTCTTCTTTGAGGGGGCTCTCTGCTCCCCTTGACCACCGAGGGATCCTCCTTCCCTTTAATTGAGCCGGGGAGACTAGGGGCAGGGGTCAGGTTGTAGGTCCGGGTGGTAGGAAGCACGGGACAGCCGTCCACCCGCTTGCGGGCACGTGAGCGCAGCCCAGACCCCCACGTGCTGTGTGACCCTGGGCGAGACGCTTGCCTTCTCTGGGCCGCACGCCCGCTTCTGAGAAAGAGCCGGCTAATCGGTCTGCCAAACTCGGGAGTTTGAGCGTGTCACGCTGGTCGGCTGAGGGTTTTCTGAAGAACTTTAGAAATGGTGCGTGTGGGCACTTTTTTCTTACTTAGGCCACTTTCCTGGAAGGGCTTTAGCGATGGGGAGGGATAGGAAGAGAGAGAGAGAGAGGCTCTTTTGGACTTTGGACCACGTGGAGATGAAGGGAGGCAGTTAGCAACAGCCCTGGAGGGGAGGTGCAAACCCCCAGACTCCTTACCTCGTATCCCTGCACCCCGGACCCTGTTGCCTACTGTCTGAAAGCTATTATCATTGCTGTTATTTTCTTTTTTGGGGGGTGGGGTGGGACAGGTAAGGCATTCCACTGCCTCTGGAGCGCTGTGCGCTGTAGGTGCCGGCGGGCGCCCCACCCAAGACCTTGGGGCGAACAAATCTCCAGGTGCCCCTGGAGGGAAGGCCCATGGGAGAGGGGCGCTCGGAGGCGGGCGGGGCGGAGGCGCTGCTCCTGGTGAAGCCCAGCCCCAGCCAGGCCCCGACCCGCCCCGGCCGCCTCCCCGCCGAGGCCAAAGCTGGGGGGTCGGGCCGCGTGGCGCACCCAGCCCGAGAGGCCGCGGCCTGGGGAAGGGCAGGGCGGGTGTCCGCCGGGACTGCGGCCTGGCCTTGTCCTCGGGCCACGGACAGGCCCCCACAACTCCTCTTCTCGCCGGCTGCAGATCAAACGGCTGGCGAGGCAGCTGGGTCCTCCCCACTCTGGCGGGCGATTTTAAGTCCTGCCCCGGGCCAAGGAGCGCGGGCCGCGGGGGGAGGTGCCCCTTCCGTGTTCCATCAATTGCCCGGGTCTGGGGGGATCCGGGGACCTGCGGGGTCACGCAGCCCGGGAGAGCTCGAGTGCGCTGACCACACCTACCTCTGGTTCACCCGGTACAAGTTCGCCTCCCACCTGGAGCTCCCCAGCGCCCACCCCCTCACTTCCCACCGACCCTGGCTGGAGAAGGGGCGTGCTTGACCGTAGACAGAGTGAAGCTGGGTGGAGCGAGGGCCGACTCAGGTGTAAGCTTCTTCCGGCTTGGGACCTAGCGAGCTCTCACCCCCCCTGTACTAATTGTTCGTTCCTTCTCTTAGTTCCTATTTTGTTACCCCTCTCCCAGCGTCTACAATATCAAAGTTTAAATGGAAATACTTTGGGGAAACTTTAACCTCTACCCCCAATAAAACAAAAGTAAAAGCAACCAGCTACTTTTCCAAGGAAATGGGATAATTGGCCATGTCCCCTCCTCACCCCCATTTCCAGGTGCACCCCTGCCTCCTTCCTTCGTCCCCCTCCCAAAGCCAACACAGCTTCTGGGTGGGTGGGGATTTGCGTTGATCCAATTTACTCCACGTACACAGCACCCCGCCCCCCTTCTCTGGGGGTCCTATTCCCAGGAGGGTAGGAGGGATGAAGTGAAGGATTTGCTTTTATTTAAAATTACTCTGCTCACCCCCCCCCCCTTTGGGGGGGGAGGCTTCTTTGCACATCCTGTGCCCAGGGAGAAGAGAAACTCACAAAAACGCGGTTTGCACGTGTGGCCGGCCTGGGCTGCGGGTGTGCGCTCGGCCAAGTGTGTGTGTCTGTGTGTGCGCGCGCGAGTGTCTCTGTGTGTGTGCTTTCTTGTTCTCTTGCAGGGTACAATGTTAAAAAGCCACCGCTAGTCGCCCCCAGTGCTCCGACTCTCTGGGTCTTTTTGTCTCTAGTGCAGATTAAACGTCACGTCCGCACTTGAACTTGAATTTTATCCCATTGTACAGAGGCAGCCCCAGCCATAGAGACCGAGAGCTCGCAGAGAACCCGGACTCCGCCATCTTCACGTTGCAATCTATAGCTCCCCGTCCGCGCCCGCACAGACCCAGGCGCACTGGGCGAGCCGCCCCTGCGCCCCGCTCCCCCCCGGGCCCGCGGCGCCAGGGGAGCGCAGGGGAGCGCTCGCGGGGACCCGGCAGCCCCTCCGGCCGGCGTCAGCCTGCCAGGTGAACTGGGAAGGAGCCGCTTCTCGAGTCCCCCCAGAGCCTGCGGAGGGTCAGCCTCCGAGAAAAACCGGGCAGCCCGCAGAAAGCCCCGAAACCACCGAATCGGGCCAGTTTTACATTGCTTTGGGGCTTTTGAGGGGGCGGGGTGAAGGGGTACGAGACAAGTCCCCAAGTTTTCTTTGCTTTTTCTCTTTTTATTAGTATTATTTTTTATTTGTTTGCATTTTCTTCTTCTTCTTCCCCCCTCCTGGTTGAAGTGCGCGCTCACCTACCAGCCCCTGAAGGAAAAGTGTCAGGGCCGGTGCGAGATCGGTTAAGTTCAAGAAGACATTTGGAGTCCGAGAGGCCAAGCAGTTTGAAGAAGTAGAAGAGATTTGTTTTTTCCTTCAAAGGAATATATTTTTAAAGAAACCCACTGGTCCGAGGCAAGCAGCGACACAAGCCTTTTTTTTTTTTTTTTCCTCTTTCTCCTATTTCAGACCGAGAGTCTTTGCTCTTTTTTGTTTTTCTTCGCTTTCCCTTTTTGAAAACAAAACAAAAAACAGCTTCGAAGAAAGAGCAAAATAAAGAAGAAGAGAAGAAGGAGGCAGAGAACGAGAGAGGAAGGGAGAGGAAGCCCCAGGCGGCAGCCCGGGCCGCGGCGGAGCAGGCGCGGCGGCGCGCGACCCCTCCCGGCTCCCCAGCCGAGCAGCTCCTCGGGCTGATGCCAGAATAGATGCCGGGGCAATGTCCCGCCGCAAACAGGGCAACCCGCAGCACTTGTCCCAGAGGGAGCTCATCACCCGTAAGTGTCTGCAGCGTGCGCGCGGGCGCCGGCGGCGGGGCTCCGGGGCCGGGCACCTCCCGGGCAGCGCGG